AAATTATGTATGGGAGATCCACCTTAATATATTCTTAATCTGTTTTTTTTGTAACAGAAATATATCATCTGTGAAAATTTCAACTCTCTAACTATTACGGTTCATGAGATACAGTCTGGTGACAGACTCCAGGCAGACGGCGGAGTCTGTCACCAGGCTGTAGGCCAATAGGGTGCCGGAATCCTAAAAAAGAGCAAATCATAGGATTCAGTATATCACAGCAGTAGTGGCATAATTTTAGGCGTTCTAACCACTCATATGAAGACTGCCGAGTGTAACACTTAAAAAAAATTGATCTTAACAAAATTAAATGAAACTATTTCAATCATTTCATCGCGTTTTAATTTTGTTTTTTAATTCCCGACGTTTCGAACCATTCATGGACAATGCTGGAAACAGCATTCATGGTTTCGGATGGTCACGGGACAAATGCGATTAATTTTTTTTAATCAAGTACAATGTTCGCGTAAAAACAAGTTACCATAATAAGTTATTAAATGTATTCTGAGCTAGTATTAAACGTGTGGTGGTAATGATTACGTTCTTCTTACTATCCGAAAAAGAAATATCACGAGATGCCGAAAAGAACCAAACCACGCGATCAAAGACGCGTCTACGTAGAAAAAGTCGATCTACATCGAACAATAGACAGGATATGAATGTTACGTCCGAACGCGCGTGTGCCTGTAACTTTTAACTTAACAATTAAGTACTAAATTTAATTTTTATGACGTTGTAATAAAGTTCACATTCGTTTTACACACAATTAATTTGTCGCATAAGAAATGGGATGAGGTCGCGTGCGTGCAAATCGATTAACGGGAGGATAGGTAAATTCAATGGGATTGGAGTCCACGGACTGATCTTATGACTGGTGTGGTAAAAACATTCCCATATAGTGTGAGCTTATTTTTCTTTTATGTGAAAAGTTGTCAAGCTTGCAGACGGTCCACCTGATGTTTAATGAATACTGCTTCCCATGGACATCCACATTACCCGATGGCTTGCTCATGCAGCAAACTTTAAAAGGAAAGCCTCGGTTACCTAACTTCCAGACGAAACGCGAATGTTTAATACTACCACTTCACGTCGGTCTTCTTTTAGGCCCTGGACTTACTAAAGAGTTACAAATTATAAAACAAAGTGAAATATGAATAAATAAAACAAAATATATCATCGATTAAGTCGCATGTAAATTTAATTAATAAAGAAAAATAATTATTTCATTTTCAAGAAAAACAGATAGAGCAATATGATTTATGTATACTTAAAAGGAAACATTTATCTTTATTTATTTTTTTCCTTAAAAAGATCTTTGAGGGTATTGAATACTTACATACAATACAATAACATTTAAAACTTGATAACATTATATTCAACGATGAGTTCAAATAGTTCCCTTCTTGGCTTTATTCGACTATGATTCTCATCGATTATATATGCCATTTGACGTAACGTTGCTTTTGCAACAAGTGCAATCTATATTTAAGGTGAGTTGCTTAGAACCCAAAACCTTCGTGCGGTGGGATTAAGATCCGCGGGTATAATAACTATAAATTACGATGCTCAAACTATCAAACACCTCGACTCAATTTCATATCTTCGGACCAATCTCGGGGCAGCGCTCTCGCCGCTTGAGCTTTTTCGAACATTTCGATTGTTCCCACGGCATCTGCACATCACTATTTCACCTTCCCCGGCGTGTTCACGAGACCAACACTAGTAGAGTTTGAGCACGGTAAGCTAAAAAGAATATTCTGCGAGGCGTGACACGGTTCAAATTTGCGATTCAATAGTGACAATGGTGCATCGATCTTCAAAAATTTACATATTCAGTACCCAAACCTGTCAATCAAATTTTGACTCTATATTTTAATTGTTCAAATTATTTTCATTTGTTTACTTTTGTGTAATACATATTTTAATTTTGTGAAGCTTATAGTTGAATACAATTATGTTCTAGTCGGTCATTTTATCGAGTAGCTATTATTGATATTTTAAAACAGAGTAATTTTTAATAAAGTGCCAAAATATAACTGTATTTTATATATTATTTTACATATTAATTCATTAAATTCTATACGAATAGAATAAAAACTAAAATTATCCCGCGACTATATTGTTTTCGTATAAAAATTAGAACAGATCGAGTGGACAGTGAAGTTTCCTTAATATTAATCCGTTTCGCCTGGTGAGTAAGTTAAACAAGGGCCCACTATTTTGTTGCAAACGCATCTTAGCATCCGGTGAACATATGCTTATTTGCCTACTTCTAACATTAAAAAATTCTGGTTTTAATGTTTCGGAATCGAATTATCTAGGCCAAATATATCCTGTAAGTCCTGTCATAGATATTACAAAAATTAGGTTTGTCAGTGATTTTGTCAGTTGGACAAAAAAGCTCCTATTTCGCTATATACAGGGAGATTTTTTGAGAAGTCCCCAAATTTACACAGGAGGTTCAGACTCGGTAGTATAATCGCTTATAGAAATAAAAAGCAGAGTTATTTTTTCCAAAAAAAGCCATTCTTTTCCCTAAAAAACAGAACGTGTTGACAATACGGTAGTCATTCATAAATACCTAAATTTTACTGTGCACGAACTTGTGTGCGTGATAGTTATGAATGATCGCGCGTAAAATAAATGAGTTGCGTATAAATCACACAATTTTTGAGATAAGTTCAAATGAATGTAATTAATTACTTACGAATGATTTTAAATATTTATCATGTTTTATATATCATTATTTATGTCTAGAGTTTAATAAAAAAAATGGATACACTTAGAAAAGCCACCCTGTATATGCATAGAAATAACGTTTTCGTTTTGTGAAGGTATGCCGTTTAGCTGCATTTTTCAATTTTTCTCCAAATTTTAAATAGCATGTAGATAATAAATATCAGATATCTATTGTCACCTTCATCTAAATTCCACATTTTCCCATAAAAATTGGAATTAATTTATATAGATACTTTTCCACTGAAATATAAATAGTAATCAAGAACTTAACTGAAAGTATTATACTTTTGCATATTGCCTGGTGAATGGTAATTGGGTCACAATCTTTAATGGTTGACGACACATCTCGGTAGTTCAGATGTCCATGGGTGGTGCCAATACCCCAACATCTGCTATTCGATGACCAACTATTCACATAAATAAACGAGTATGCTTTAGACCACACGGCTGAAGTCACACTTCTTTACCTCCATCTATATGTAATCTGTATCCATCTGTATGTATTTACAATGTTATTCACTTTATGCGTAGAATATTTAATGTATTGAAATAAATGTTAATTTATAAAATTGTTAAGAATGAAATTAAATAACGAAATAATCGAGAAATGACCGTTTCGCCAAAATTTTACAATCCAACACTCTTCGAATCGCTCGTCACGCATTCAACAGCTTACCATGTTAGGCGTGCGTAAGGAAGTTTTACTTCAAAAAAGGGTAACCAAGAACCTTGACAATAATATTAATATCTAGTGAACCCATCAGGTAACATTTCGTAAAATCCGTTCTTAGCCGAAACTCGGCGAAAGGAATATTCCTACCAAATTTCAAGTCTCTACGCCTTATGGTTCCAGAGATGTGATGAGTCAATTATCGGTGGAAATCTCTTATATATATATTATATATAATATAGATTGATATATAAGCCATAATGGTCAGTTTTGCTTTGGTTTTTCTAGTGTGCGTGTACCCCGTCCCTTATTTTTACACTAAAGCGACTCACTCACACATGCACAATGGGACTTGTAATTATTACTCGATCGGTGGGCGTGGTTCAAGCCGAAGAAACTTAGATTGGTTCATATCGCATACAGTCGTCTTGTAAAATCGTGTGTTGCAGCGATAATGTGGTCTTGTACATTCGTATTATTTTATTTAATCCGAAATTTATCACATTCTAGAATTGGAAACAAGAAATGAAAATGTTTAGCGAACATCCATTTAAATAAACAAAAATATGTCCTGTCACTGATAAAAACAAAAGCTTTTGTGACAAACAAATAATAAATTCTCGTGTGCCGCAATTTAAACGCATCGGATTGATTTTTCTTATTAAATATTAAAAATAACAAAAACAATATTGTTATCAATAGCAATATCAAGTTATTATTATGGTCCCCCTCAGCCCTAAAGTCGATTGAAACAAACTGAATTATCATTTATTTGAAACCGTTTCAATCGAAGCATACAATCTTGGGAATAGATCGCTCCTCGCGGTTTGAATTTTCCCGTCAATTATTGAAACTCCCTAACGATCCGTTTGTCAGCGACAGATACATATTCTGATTTACAGCCGCCACGGCCCCCACACGATGGCGTCTGACCGATTTAGATAAAACGGCATATCAACAAAGTACCTTTTACCATCGATTGCGGAACTGCACCGCGATTTATATACCTAAGCCTTTGCAATAAGAAACGTACCAATTTTCCCACCGGCAGTGTCTGCTTGCAAGGCTATATGCAAAGCGTTCGCAAGAAAACGTCTATCCAACAAATAGTGCCCTGCGACGTATTGATTTATATGAGGAGACACTATCTGGGACAACGACACGCGAAACATATTACTCGACCGCATACGGCCATCGGCGAGGTGCGCCCTCCACAACCGTGAATGTACACGCAAAATACATCCTTACACATGCGTTAAAAGTGCGGAAATGGTGTGGGATTTATTGTGTTAGACTCGCAAATTTGTTGGCGAAGTCTTAACACGGTGTCGTTGATGCGAAGTGCGCGCGAGTCGTGTGTTATCCGGCGTTGCTGTAATCCGAAATAGATGCTATTATTTACGCCTTAAAGCGGAGGTTCCCTTGAGCGTTGTATAACATGTTTCCAATAGGTCAAACTAATATATTGCACCAGTGGAGACAATAAGCCAATCAACCAATACCCTTTCTATTGCTAGTTAGTGAAACTTTGTAACGCGTTCGCTATTCTTGTTTCTTCTGAGGTCACGTGCCAGCGGTTTAAGCGTCCTTAGACCTAAAAGAAGACAAATACTGTCACATAACTCGGCAATTATTAATTTACTAGTTTTTCGCCCACGGCTTCACTCGCGTTGAAGCCCTTAAATAAATATCTTTCAAACCTTTACAACACTTTTTTCCAATTAAAAAATAGCGTATGTCCTTTCTCAGGCTCTAGACTATCTGTGTATCAAATTTCATTTAAATCGGTTCAGTAGTTTTGGAGTGAAGCGAGAAAGACAGACAAAGCTACTTTCGCATTTACAATATTAGTATGGACTATGTCTTCGTGTGTTTAAGGGTCTGCTGGAAGTGAACTCTCTTTAGGGTTATGCTCACCTTTGTACAGGTATTTTGTCATTTTTTGCAATTGTCTGTATTACATTGTGTGTACAATAAGGGAACCAAACAATATATAAGGTTTAGTTATTAGGCTCTTGCGGATGATTTCTGTAAGGTCAAATACCTCGGTAACTCGGTAACTTAGCGGTAATAAATGTGAAGTATGCCAATCCACAGTGGGGCCATGTGGTGGACTATGCCCTAATACTCTCTGTAAAGAGGAGGTCTTGGCCCAGCAGTGGGACTTGTATAGGCGATGTACTTACTTTTACTTTTAGGGTTATATAAATAGCAGATCCCATAAGACATGGTTTGTGAGCGGCACTTTATGCTGGTTGTTTGCGTATTATAAACGTCATCCAACATTTATTAAGTTTAAAACATCTTATCATTGCTACTTAATAGTAGTGTACTTAAGTACACACTTTATTACTAGTACAGATTTGCAAACCGCTTTTATAACTGAAACATATGCTTACCCGATATACGTTAGCCAGTAACTCTGACATAAGTCTCTCAACGAAGTCTACAATCTCGGAATAGGAGAATCGATACATCAGGCGTCTGGCGAATTATGGAATCGAATAGAATATATTAATACGTGAGAACGGATCGAGTTAGTTTGGAGATGTCTGCCGCTCTAAATCAGTGCAACAATGCGACTCCAGCTTGTTCCGATTTGCTTATAGATGGCCGATAGTTTAGGGAGGATACGCTTAAATATTATTACTAATTATAAAGTAATTAAAGCAGAATGTGATAACAAAATTCAAATCTATGCTTTATATTACTTATTAATTTGTTATACGTCATAATGTTATTTTATTGGTCATTAAAATAAATTAAAGTTGACTTTTTTTAAGGTTTAATATTGGTCCCACGGGGCAGTAAATATTTCAGTCACCGCGAGAACTGCTTATAAGCGTCTTTTTGTTATTTTTAAATTAGTTCAATACACAAATAGAGGTTCTGTATCTGGATGTATTACACGGGAATTATTCCCTAACGTGGAAGTCAAAATATAGATAAAAACTGAAAGAAAAACATCGTGTGTTTTTCTCAATATTTTTCAAATGATTTTCTAGGTACTTTGTGGATGACTTGGTGGCGCAGTTGCTAAACTATTTGCTTCGGCGTATTTTCACCGGATCTGGTTGTTTGTTCCAAGAAGGTTTGATGTCAAACATTCAGCACAGCCAGAAACTATTTATAACATGATTGAAACGCTGTGCCGACCCCACCTAGGTGGGCTAAGGGCACTTTGGTTTATTCTAGGTACTTTTTGATTATGTGAGACTGCTTCAAGAATCACGATGCCACCTTTACATTTCTGACAACCACGTTGATTAGTAAATGTTTTGTTACAGAGCTAATAAATAAAATTCCTTCATCGGGGCTAGTCCACGTTAGCATCTCCGCAAGCGGAGACGCGCGGACAGCAGGCATCGCAAAGTCCGTTCGGATCGGCTTATCTCTCACTGCGCATTTCCTGCAGCAAGAGCGCCAAGTATGCGTCATTCCGCGCACTGCCAGCCGGCCGGCACAATGATGCATTGTATCTGATCTGCGACGGACGTCCATCGATTGTGTAATATGTGAGCCGATCAGCTGGGCTGATGTCTATCGCAACTCCGATGGGAGACCGCTCGGATTACACGCTCAGTGACGTCACTTGGTTCGGTGACGTAACGGTTCAAGGAAATTTTAATAGAGGGATGGAAAGTTACCATTTATTAAATGCATTATGGACAAGGCAGCTGTAGCCTGTTGGTATGACTCGCGATTTGAGTGATTTGATCGTTTTAGTGTATATTATAAGGAAATAAAATATTTCGAAATTTGTACAAAAATAGACAAAAAAGTTTTTCGCCGCAGCGAGGATTTGATTTTGCGTCCTCCTTGCTACGATCTCGACGCTCTAGTTACTGAGCTTATTTTCACACTGATGATACCGTGGAGGAGGTCGTGGTACCAGTGTGGCAATGAAAGTTTTTAGAACTGGCTGGTTAGAAACATTTGCATTGAAAAATAATTTTAAATTTTGAATATAGAACTCTTTGGTAACCTTATGTGATGTATTGCATTCATTTGACATCGGTTTTTGTGATTTGGCGGCAATTCGAAAAGACTTGTAACACCTCAAAATTAATTTACGAGTAACGCATGAAAGTATTCGGTCCATGATTTATAACCTTCGTTGTGGTCTTACTCAACAAAGTTATGATAGACTTCGGTGTTTAATATTGAAGTCCCATCCCTTGCCACTGTTTACAATTGTTTTAAATCATTTTAGGCGGTGGCGTAGCAATTTAAGTTATATTGCGTCAGGAACGTCCTTCAACAGCTCCATCTGAAGATAACATCAGTTCTCTGCAATGCACGATAGAGGAAAATAAGAATGACCTACCAGCAGATTTGGGCAAGCTTAGGCTTTGCTATGAGTTAATTACAAAAAATAGTACACGACCATTACCTTATACTTTGACTGAAGACCGGAAACACCTTCGCATGGATTGGTGTCACGAAATGGTAGAAAAATTCAATGGAGGTGATTATAATGCCGTATTCAACATCTAACAGGTGATTAAAGCTTGAAGAAACATTGTTGCAAACCCGAAACCAAAAGACAATTTGCTCAGTGGGTATTTCCTTTTGAGAATCGGCCAACGTGAAAGGAAGAAGTCAGTTGTGCTGTAAGGTGGAAATACGTTTACAGCAGACCGGAATGTTAACTGTTGTTTGCCTGTTGTATTGGAATTTTTTTTACAGCAGCGTCCTCGCAGCAGGATCCTTGTTGGTTACGACAACGCTTCAGCGCACTCTGCGAAATGATCAATGGAAAATTCGATTATGGCAGTTGTCGAGATATTGAGTTAAGAATCAAAGATAAACTTGGAGGTATTTGCTTTACGAGCCCCGAAGATTAATTAACCGTTAATTGCCCCAGTGGCCCCTAAGTTTTTTTTATGTTAATAGTTGTCAAATGAGCAGGTCTGTCCTCCGGATGTCAAGCTGATACCGTCCATTGACACCTACAGCACCAGGGGCTTGCAGTAGCGTTGACAACCTTTAAAAAATTCGACCCAACCATCTTACTCACTATAGGAAACGCAATCGATGAAGGTTTGACGTTTTTTGTTTTCCCGAACGTATCCACAGGTGCTTTTCTATTTCAAATTCAAATCGAAACGCGTCTTTTGCGTTTGAGTTTTTGGTGGTAGGGCCACGCAACATTGTTCGCTGTTGCATGAATGGGCAGGCCCATCCGGGTTAGCACCACGACCTCACAGAAGACCGGCGTAAAGAAGAGGTGTTGCGCTTCTACTTTTCGTCTGCTGAGTGAGGTAGCCGGGGCCCACATTACTAAGAGGTGGCAACGCATCTGCAACCCTACGGGTGCTGCAAATGTCCACGGGCAGGCGGTTATCACTTAACATCAGGTGAACTGTCAGCTCGTTTGCCACTTTCTCACGTAAAAAACAGAGTTTCCTGTGAGTCGCACTCAAGAACAGGCTTTTGTACTGGCTGGTCGTCGTAATAATATTTAAGGTCTAATCCTGATCCCGATCCAATTCGCTCTCGCCGGTCTCGTCCGACGCTGAGCACGCGCACTCGCTCAGCCGCTCGTGACTCTCGCCGACATTTTATTACCATAATTTAAAACAAATATCTGATTGTGTGTACCGGGCTTAATGCCCGAGTGTTAAACCGAACTGCGAATGTAGGGATGTGCCCATCACACGTTATGTTTAAGGGCTGCTACGCGCTTTGTGTCGATTTGTTATAAAACGTGCAAATGTTTTATAATTGTTAGGTATCCTGTACTTTGAATTGTATGTATGATGAAAATGATTTTTATTTTAATAATCTCACTGATCAAATTAGCGGTTTCAATTCTGATTACATTGTTCATAAGCGGCGATATGACTGTATTAAGACAACTTTTGATTGCGAGAAACTAAACAAATATTTGTGTTTTAAATTACAGTTTAGTTAGTTTTATTATATAGTCGGCTTCAAGCTACAAGTATCGTTTCCAAAGGTCATCGTAAACTTTAAAACCTTCGATAATTGATCAAAAGCCAGAACAAACTTAAGATATTTTATTATAAGAATATGTAAGAAATTCAAACATAATAACTGAGTTCCGTGACAGTAAATGGAGTAAATGGTCTCATTTCTGTGATTTATATTGGTTACGACCATTAATGCGGAACGCTTCTACACCGTAGACGGAACCCAATTAATAAATCGGGGTCAGGCGTGGAAGACCGGCATATCGGCGATTCGCGAGGCCCCAATAAACATTCCGTGCGAAGTCACGGCCCTCGACGTGACGCGGCACACATGGCGGCAACTCGCTTTGCACACCGACACATATGCGCAGAACGCTTATAGTGTAGGAGCTGTAAATCCTTACTTCCTTACTAATATTATAAACGAGAAAGTTTGTATGTGTGGATGGATGTTTGTTACTCTTCTCTCACGCAAAAACTACTAAATAGATTCTAATGAAACTTAACAATAATATAGCTTATACATCAGAATAACACATAGGCCTATAATTTAGATATTGTGTGAATTGGCCAAAATTATAATGTATTGTTTTATCGGTGGTAGAGCCACGCAGCAGCCTCGGTTGTCGCACGAATGGGCAGGTTCGTCCGGATAAGTACCACGACCTCGCAGACGACTGGCGTAAGGGCGTATAACAAATACTTTCGCGTTTCGTCTGGTGAGTGAGGCAGCCGGAGCCCAATTTCCAAAAAGGTTGTCAAAGCATCTGCAAACCCTTTTGAAAATTGGGCTCCGGCTACCTCACTCACCAGACGAAAATATATTTGAATAGGTACTCGAAAGTATTTGTCACAAATAAGTTTTAAATACAGTGGAATAAAAAGGTTTTCATTTTCTATTCTTCCACTTTACGCTGGTCTTCTGTGAGGTTGTGGTACTAACCCGGACGGGCCTGCCCATTCGTGCAACAGCCGAAGCTGCTGCGTGGCCCTACCACCGTCAATTTAATAATTAATTTTTTTTTTGTTAATTCAAAACACAAGAATTTTGTGGTAAAAAAAAGAAAGTAGCTAACTGATAGTTAACGGGCTACGACACCCCGGGCGTTGGGTTCCGTATAAGTATTTGATCTACATGATTTACAGTTAATTGTTCTAGATTCAGATATCTGTCCTTGTTAAACATAAGATTATCCTTTACTACAGTAAGAGTAATGTAAAAACAAAAAGAGTAAGATAAAAAATAAAACAATTTACTACTATACAAATAGACAAAAATAATTTATTACTTAAAAATAGACAACGACGTGATCTTCAATCTTAAACTTTTAAAAATTCATATTCCTTTGCTATGTAAAATCATAAATAAGGAACATTGGCTCCTACACTATTAAAGTGCTAAGAACTGTCGTAGGCAATGCAAGTGCTTCGTGCCGCATGCCCGGGGCGCTCATCTCAAACGCAATCTTTATAAGGTGGTAAAACATATATTTAATGCTAAACGTCCAGCACGACCAGCTATTTTGTGGGAAACGCGATGCGGGACTTGTTGCCAGTGAACGCAACGCTACCACAGACTAAGCGATTGCAGCTGTGTTTTGTTTACGTGAGATAGTAGCCAAACTGTGTATATTACAACGTAGGTATAGTATTATTTTATTACACTTCATAGTTGCACGAATAATCTGACTTGAATTTTCTGAGCCCAATTTTCAAAAGGTTGTCAACGCATCGGAAACCCTTGGGTGTAGCAGATGTCCATGAGTGGCGGTATTTACTTAACATCTGGTGGACTGTCGGCTCGCTTGGCAACTTTTCACATAAAAAAAAAACTCGCAGAATACCGGCCTGAAGTGGAAGTTTCATACTACTGCGTTCCGTCTGGTGAGTGAGGTAGCCGGGGACCATAGAAATATGGCAACGCATTTGTGACCCTACACTGATATGAGATGATGACCATGGGCGGCGGTTATCACTTACAATCAGGTAACCGCCAGCTTACTTGCCACCTTCTCACATAAGAAAAAATTATAGCGACTACCGCCATCCACGATTATCGATGACACCCGTGAGGATATCTTGCGTTGCGGACCTTTTAGATAATGTGTAAATTTCAGTGTTGTACGGCCCCGCATTGACATTTGTTATTTTATATTTTTTGTTTATATATATTTATTTTATGTTCGTCCGGGAAAATTCACCAGCCTTATTGAAGACAGAAGTAGAGTTAAAGTTTTATACTTTTGTTTCGTGTTGAGTGCGGTGCATCTGTAGCATTGCACATCTGCAACACCAATGTTACAGATGTTCATACGTGGCAGTAATCACAACAGGAGAATGCGAACGATAACCTCACAACGCACTTTTATTTACGTCATTCCATGGTCCTTACTATATAAGTTGCTTCCTCACACACACACAGCAAAAGTTCTTTTAAATGGACTCAATATGGACTAGTATGTACAAGATACACAATGTCCAAAAAAGATTACGAACGCAGTGGGTGCTTTGATATTTATGTATAACTTACATAAACAATAGTTATAGATATAAGCTCTAAGATTAAGTTTCTCGAAACAAATCTGTTAAAACGGCAACAGTTGTTTTTGTAAAATATTCATGAACAAACTACGACAATAATAGTTGAGGAATAGCAGTGAATAATAAACAAAGGTAATGCATTATCAGTTTACTTATCCCTTAATTCGAATTCCAAATAATTCCTACGGAAATAGACCAGTCAGCCTACTAATGTCCAGAACCGATAAATCTTCCGATCGCTACCGCTTTGCCTCTCCAGATAATGTATTTCTGTTCGGACGTTACACTTACTTTGGCAATTTGCGGGAACCTTTGTGCCCTTTAAGATACCTCGTCAGACGATTGTACTATTCGTTTTGTATAAGGAATGCTATAGAGTTGATACTACGTTGAATGTCAATTCGACTAACACTTATTTAATATTAGCATAATATATAAAAAGAATTCACGTCCTTTTTAATGCCACTAAGAATATGTGTACAAAATTTCATGATAACCGGTTGAGTAGTTTTGGCTTGAAAGCGTAACAAAGAAACTTACATTCACATTTATAATATTAAATAGGGATTAAGGATATAATAAAGTTAATAGGTACCGTTTAATTCACATATTTCTTATATTTTTATTCCTCATTACTCAGCAATCCTCATCAACTCCACATCTACATACGCCAAGTGAGGAATGTTAAGACTATATTGCTTAAAAAGCTTGACATATTATGGTTTGGATGATGAAACGATGAGGGTTAGAGAGATTTAGTGTAGTGCACTGTGCCTTTTTGTACAATGCGTTTATTTATCGAGCTCTATAAGCTTTTTTTTAGGTATTTTTAAATCTTTACTTATTTATTTATTGCATTGAACTGATATTAATACTTGCGCGCTGTGATTAAATACAAAAAAATATATATAAACTTGACACGGCTTTTACTGAAATAACTTCGCATAAGTAGAAAATAACAAAAGATAGATATTAAATAAACGAAATTTCACGTTTCCTTTAGGCGATACAACTCTAAGGATGTAAGCAAACAAACTTATCCTTGAGGCGCGTGATATATCCCCGTCTTCAGGAAGGGCTAAGGTCTGAGCCCATTTACAAATCACAAACACTGACCACCCGCTTCACCCACCCGTCTACCCTCGGACAATTATATACAACCCTTCGGTAACACCTTTCCTTAGAGCAACGTTTGAAATATGGTTGGATTTGAACACCCTTAAATTGTCTTGATTGCGGGGTATAAATGTTTTATTCAAGACGGGTGGAAAATAATTAAGAATGCTCATATGTGCTCCCCAAATTAATATAGCGACTACGAAATGTAAAATATAATTCATTGTTTTGTTCTACTATTGCACTACATATTGTTATATAACGCCTTTTTTATTCCAAATCATAACTATTTGGAAAAATAAACCAATAATAATAGAGGAAAAACGTTAAGTATGTTTTCAGTGAGGTAGTTTATAAATATAGTCTTTACAACAGCGGAAATCCAGGTCATATTCGAACAAAGGTTCATAAAAAAACAGGTCGAGACATCCGAAAAGCTAGCCGTTCTAAAGACAATCACATTTGAATAACTATCGCGGGTTAATTCCTCAGATAAAGACGGCCGTGTTGGCTGCGGCCGTTTCCGGCGGATGTCCAACTTGGGCGGACATTGAAACTCGGCCGGAAGTAGATGGAGTGGTGACGTATATTTCGAATTTAGGAATCCCATTGTGCGATTAAAACGCTCGCCGAATTGTGGATGCATAGAAATCCGAAATAAATGGGAATATACATTTTTAGGTATGTGTTTATATTTTATGCGAAATAATTTGTTATACGTTTGCTTGCCTATTTCCATTCATCGAAATTGTATCATACAAGCGACTCCCATTTGTTTTGTGGTGTTCCAATTCAGTTTTAACGGTCAATTTCTCATGTAGGTGTAGTTTTCTCGTGCAAACTTTATAATATCAAATGTCAAATGAAATTGAAAATAATCGGAATATCAATTAAAACTGTTGGACTTTTCTGTTTTAAATTAATCATTGGTGAAGAAACTATGGCTTTGTAAAATATTTTACCCATATCTGCGTAAAATAT